TTTGTGACCCGGTGGCGATGCGACGATGAATATTGCGCTGCCACGGAGATAGATATCGAAAATTTAAATCGAGTCCGTGGATCACAGCGCGTGTGTATGTGCGCGCGTGCGCGTGCGTGTGTGTGTGTGTGTGTGTGTCAGGCGGAAGAGAGAAATATCGCGGAAGGAAGTAGGAAACGCGGGCGCGTGGAAAAAGCAAGCGACGAGTCTGTCTGCAAAACGTTTCGATTCCCTCTGGATTAACGTAACTGTACAAGATTGCGGTACTATCGCTTCGAAAATTCCAGCGGACTCGATCGAGAATCGGCGTAAACCGAAGGCGCCGGTTTTCTCGCCGAGGATCGTTTCGATCGTCCAACACGGATCGCACGACTCTGTCGTCTCCTTCTTCCTTTTGTCTCGGCTTCCATCTCGGTCCTCGGCAGCGATACTTCTCTCAGAGGCTCGGTCAATGAGAGTAGCCTACATTCGTCCGTGTGATCGTTGCCTGGCGCGCGCACGCACGCACACACCCGGCGAAACCGTAAGTCCTCCTCGTCGCTCCTGTTGCCGGATCCGCGGGCATGGACGCGCGTACCATAGGCGCGTACAAAAGGACACGAAGCCAGGAACGGGCACACGTAGCTACGTACGGCGCGGCGTTCTCCCGTGAGAAGAGACACACACGGAGGAAGACGGAGCACACGCAAACTCCGCTCCAATGCGAAAAAGGAGGATGGAGAGAAGGAGAGAAACGGTGCGCCAGCACACGCATCGCAGAGCCAGCGTGCTCTCCTCCGTCTTGCTTTCTCTTTGCGGCGTTCCTGCTGGCTGCCTCTTCGTCGGTCGACCGGCAGGGGGCAAGTTTCAGTCTGTCCTTGTCAGCTCGATAGGATGCTGCCACGGGCTTCGTACACGGCTGGAACCTGGACCGGAGTAGTAGGCTGTACAGGTATGCACGCGGTGGGCTGGTCGGGCATTCCTGCGGCGTTGCCGCGTCTCTTACTCACCGTAAGGCCCCGATCAAGTAAGAATAAGAGAGAAACGAGGATATAGCCGGCAGGGACGAAGCAGGAGAAGAGGAGGCCGACCGACCGGGCCG